GGAGATTGCAACCATTAAAATACAGCTCTATCTTCCACTTTAAACATGAAAGTGTTTGGTTTGTCTGTTCGGGGCTACTGTAGAAACATGGCAGTTCAACATGGCTATGTTGGAAGAGGACCCGCGCCCTTTATAGATAGGTAGGTAGATAGGTAATGAAAACACAGTGATTCTTATTTTCAGGTAATTAACGAAAACACACATATGAATATTGCATTCCATTTATGCCAATAGATCCTCCTAAATATTACACACTGGACCTTTAAGGTGGTTTAAAAATCTTTCAGCTTGAGCGAAAAATATTGGAGCATTTAATTGGATTCTGAATGAGTAGAGGAGACCTGGTGAGATGATGAAATAAAAATGATAATTGACTCATGGTATATGCTTAAAAAATAACCGTAATAGCCTAATTATGCATGCTGTCATTAGAATCAAACATATTGATACTGTTGAGAGAAAACCCAGTTAAAAATGCCCAACCAATACCGCATTTTTAATAAAAGGATGGTATTCACAATCTCACCCATTCTCACACACATAAAACCACCCCAGTATTAATGTGTTTGGGCATGTCATGTGTAATACACTTGTCATGTGCACTTGTATTTTGCAGGAATCAGCACATCTTAATTAGCTGCTTACAGTAAATGCGCTCCTTGCAGGAGGAGCTTGCATTAGTGGGTGTGTTGTCTAAAAGGTCTTCATACTGTACTATATTTAAAGCCATGACCACTGGGTTTCCTGTTTGAGAAGGACATTGTGGGAAAGGTCAGTACTGTCTGAAGAAAGTGGAGCATGCTCAGAACTATACATATCCTCACTGGAAGATTTCTTTGTTTTTACACTGGCTCAGTAGTTAGAAAGCTGCCTCCGTCTTCCAATGAAAATACCTGTCCATAACTATTGTTGTTTTGAATTTCTGTTTAGGTTGAACAGCATTTTTGAAGAAGATAAAAGCTCTCGGGAGTCTGATTCTTTTTCCTGGCACGTCAACTCCAGTGATTGAATTAACTGTACAGCACTTGGCACAGCGGCATGAGTGAGTTTCCCCTCATAGTCTTAGCAATCAATTACATCTTTTACTATCACTTCTCATGAAACAAGCACCACATATGTTTCAAATCTCAATGGGAGCTATTTACCAGAGATAGAAAACTAGACAGGCTCATTTGCTATGTGCATTGTTTTTGGCAGTGTGATTAATAAGCCTTAGTTATCGAGCTGGCATTGCTAACAAGAAGAAAGCAAGAAAACAACAAGCAGTTATTAATAACTACACCGTGTAGATTGCTCTCTAAAACTTTAAGAGACACAGAAGTACTTTCGTTTTGTAAAACAAACTTTGTGCATTTTGTAGTCGATGTATTTTGAATGTCTCCAACTTCCTACAAGAAATATTTATTCTGTAAGTATTAAAGAGCAAATTTTGTTTATTATTTAGAAAGTGATGATGACAAATAAGTGGCATATTTTTGGAGTTGCACAACCACACAATGTCGAACAATTCTTGCTCTTGTCTTTCTCTGCCTTTTTTCTCTTACACTCAACTGAGACTTGAAAAAAAGTTCAAATACCCGACATCAAGAAGCTCGAGGAGACAGCCACGCCAAATGTCAAGAAAACAGGTCAGAAAGCTGTTAGTTCAGATACTTGGGCAGAGTGTAAAATCTGGGCAAGGAACAAGGATGACGAATGCTTCACTCACCCAAAACATCAACCTTTCAGATGCCCCTGAGAGAAACATTTAACCTGCATTGTTCCAGTGCAGCTGCTTTGCTTGCTCAATTTCAAAGCAAATGGTTTAGCATCATGTAAAGTTTACATCAGGAGGAGATGTCTGTAAACTCAACATTTGTTTCTCTCTGTGTAAAGAAACCACATCAATAATTCCAACAACACACATTTATCCATGGCATCTCAGTTAATTGTATGACAGTGAACAAGTGTATTTTAAAACCCATAGGTAACTTTGTAATTTTGACAAAAGAAGCCTGGCAGATTTCAGCATGACTGTGTTCATTTTGATGACATTGTCAGCCACTGGCCTCACTCATTGAAAATACTTATATGCCCGCGACAGGAAACCGAACTTCTCTGCTCAGCCAAGCGCATCATGTGGATGTGTTTGCCTGTGGAGGAGAGAAAAGCAACCCTCTTGTTGTGATGACAGGGGTGACATTGTTCTGCGGCTGCCATTTCTACTGGTGACTCCTGTCTGAACGCTGCCTTTGATTGACTGATCTAGATCTAGATTTTTCTTTTTATGTGTGTGATAAAGCACTGAATTACCTGTGTCTCTTCCATGCATTCATTTGCCAATCAGTGCACTGGAAGAAACACTGTCAGCTAAGTGTGAGTGTGTTTTTTGTAGGCTTTTTTTTTCCCCATCTGGCCTTTGGATGATGAAACTGCTGCTCCTGTGTTCTGACACGACCTGTCCCTTCACATCAGGCCTCTGTGATGGAGACTGTCAGCGAGGCACGCTCGCATTTGTCCCTGACTCATAAATCCCCCTTACACACATGTGCGCTTGCTCACTCACACACACACAAATCACCTCTGGCTCGCCAACAACCTCTTGTCTCTTTTTCTCTTACACACACACACACGTTGCCCACACGACTGTCAATCACAGCTCCTGAAAAAGTCCACAGAGAGACAGTAGGTGCTTCACACATCAGACAGACCTAAAATGGAAACACACACACACACAC